CACGGCACTAGACTATGGCAGCAGTAGCTACAAAGCCAGGTTCTCCCCTGACTTAGCAGCTGTCCAACGTGCACGAGTCCATATGGTGGAAGTAGGAGCAGGACGTTTGCCCTCTGTCCACTGAAGACACGTCCTGGTGGGACCAAGTGGACGTAGGAGTAGCAATGGTGAAACCCTGCAGTAGACTGCGGCATGGACTTCTACCTCCCAGGCTCGCTGTGAGACCATGGAGGCCCTTTGGTCGGCTCAAATGGAAAGGCAGCAGTGATCCTTGCAGATGGAGGAAAGTGAAGGGCTCTCTACACCACACGCCCTGCCCTTGTCCGAAGGATGAGGACGGAACCTGGTTCTAGAGGCAGGGAAGCTGGAGAGCACTCTCATACGCCGCTTCCTTCACTTTGTAAGATGCCAACTTCTCGGTGTGTTTCCCAAAGGGACGGGAAGCTGTTTCCTCCCCCGGCATCATTCCATGGTGGGGAGGAGTCAGGCCCGTGGCCCCAGAGTGGACACAGAGTGGTAGCGGTGTAGTGTCCCTGGGTGTGGGGTACTTTCTCCCAAAACCCGGAGGCCCATGAAGCTGTAGACGGCTCTACTGACCCGCAGGATATTTCCCTGGCCCTCCTCATTCACCTAACCGGGTGCCAACATGGAAATTACACACTGCAGCAAAAGAAGTGATTCTTCCTTTCGGGTCTGTTCAGCTTCTCACACCTGGCACACTCCTTTGGTATCCCCGCACAATGGAGAGAGACAGACAACGTTCCCAACGGCGGGATCTCTGAAATGTTCTGCCCTGTTGGTAGGAACCAAGAGATTCCGATACTTTGGGTGGCTCTTCTAATTTTTCAAAATCTAATTCGGGGGATTTAGCTGAACTCTTTCAGTTTTCCCTTCGCTGCGGTGAGATCCAGCCGATGCAAACACACAGCAGCAAGTGGAATTTAGCCTTTGCCTTCTTCAGAGACCCACCACAGCTGTGACATACACTTTTTATTTTGCTTTTCTGACCAGAAAATTTGCAAGTGTGTATCAGGCTCCACATGTACCTCAGCTGTACTTCTGCTCTGTGTATCCAATTGCTCAAGCTACGGTGCTCTGGGATTGAATTGGCTTCATGTAGGGGCAGGGCTGATCACATTTTTCCCATCAAAACCAAAACCGGGTCTGGTTTCTGCAAAAAGGGATCTTGATTTTTACGACCAAAAAATACTTTGGCTGAAAACAGAAAATCCGTCAAGTTGGAGAGGCTGCGGCTAGGCCTCATGGGACTTGCAGTTTGATTTAACGCATGTCTCCATTCTCCAGTATGGGCAGGGAACCCTGGCTGGACTACATCTCCCATGAGGCACTTTGGGTGGGAACTCCCATGATGCTTTCCTTGTCCAAGAGGCTGCTCTGCATCGGAGAATGGAAATTCCATGAGGCTCTAAACAGCATTTCCAGATGACACCTTTTTAGCAGCTGTATTATCACCGCCCAATCAAACATTTCCGTGGAAGACACTCCCCCACAGCCATCTCTGATGTAGTTTCCGGTAAGTGCTGCAGAATATCAGCTTTCACTCAAACAAAAGTCAGGGAAGGGGGGGGATTTCTCTGCATTTAGTACAGCTCCTTCCCTTCTGCCGTTACTGCTCGAGTTGCCTTCTAGCCTCTTACATTGCGCCCATCTGTTAAAGACGATCAGTGATAAGACCACACCTAGCTTCTCTGTATTCCACGTGGCTCATCCCCATCAGACCTTAAGCCAATGAGACTCAGCTCCCAGCGTGTCATCGCTCCATTGTCTCCAACGGCGCGACATGGATGTATGCCTGCAGACGCTCTGACACCCAGGCTGATCTGTGTTGGACATGCCCTGAATGAAACCGACGTCCTAAGCCAGGGGTTCTTAACCAGTGAGGTGTGCCTCCCCAGGGGAGGTGTGAAGGGGATACAGGGGATATGTGAGGAGCCTCCCAGAAAATGTATCACAATTGCCTTCTCACTGGATAAGATTCTAAAGTTTAGATTTCTTCATAATTAATATTATGAATTAAAATTATAAACATTAATTTCTTATTAACTTCTAGAGATCGGCACACTACGATAGCAGTGCGCATCAATCAGGCCTACGTGACGACACACTACAATAACAGTACGCGAGCATTGCCGACATTCATCTTCAAATATTATGTACAATTGTTAGGAAAAGGTTTAAAGTTAAAAGCTCATATTATTCATTGAGGCATTGTAACGGGGTTCACTCACTGCACAGCGCCACCAGCCGTCAGACTTGGTTGCAGAAGTCCTTGAATTATTTTTTTCCTAACCTGGCTAAGTAAAAGAATCAAGAAAGCCATATCCAGAAAATGGCTTGCTGTTACATATCGAGGCAAGAAAGACTTTAGATTTATGGGAATTTGACTCCCTGGCTAAATTTCCATTGTGTTAGTTTCACATTAGTATGATTTCATTTGTCTTTAATGTATACACGAATTAAAATTAATATAAATTAGCTTTATGAATTTTGTTTGTACTAGTTCTTAGAACAATGTATGGGTAGTTTAACTATTGTTTTCAAATAAGTATTATATTTATTATTCATATCAAAGTAACACACAGAAAACCTGTCCCAAGAGTATGAAGTCTAAAAAATATATTACAGATTATCTATTAAAAAAGGTTAAGACCTCCTGTCATAAAGAGATGTGCATTTGGGACCACAGGACTGCATGATGCCATGTGACCTAATAGTTGAAGGCAGTTGTAAACCCCAACTACTGGTATCTCTTGAAGCGATTTTGCAAGTTGACTGATGCGAGTTGACTGTCGGTAAAGAGGCTCTGGTTGTGATCGAATTGAGCTGAGCGCTCCAATGAATTGGATTGTTTGGGTTGGCATGAGTATTGATTTGCTGTAATTTATTAGGAAGCCTAATGAGTGAAGGCAGGTTATCACAGTAACAGTACAGGCAGTCCCCGGGTTACGTACAAGATAGTAGGTTTGTTCTTAAGTTGAATCTGTATGTAAGTCGGAACTGGCGTCAGCCGCTGCTGAAACTGATCAGTTTCAACCG